AGTCTCTTGAATTGACCACGGGATGAAACTTGTGACTTTAAAATAAGTTATTTGTCAATAAGCTGCAAAGTAATGCCAAATAGACTCTGTGGAATCTGTATCACCTATCTTGCATCTAATCATGATAGGATACCACATTACTTTCATCAGTAATGTAATGAATTGGCCATCGTTTAAATGGGTACAATTTTCTAGCTAGAGACCCTGTTAATGATTAAGGTTTTGTTTTTTCATATTAGTATTGTGCTGGGTCCTGTAGGGAGAACAACTATGTTCTAAAGTGGTTGCCATATAGAGTTTTTGGCTAAGTGATTTAATGTGTAGATTAAGTCATTTTCTAGTCCTTTAACAGAGACTATGTCTCATTGTATATTTATACATACCGCACAGCCAAGTGAATGCGCTGTATAGTAAAGTTTGTTTTAAAGGCTTTTGTATGAAACCTCAATCACATCTCCAATCATTCTCAGAAAAAGAAATCACATTCATTCGGGTGGGTATGCTATAAGCCATATTTATTATGCTGTTTATCTTTGACAAATCAATATTTACTCAATTAACAATAATATTTGCCGTATGCCAAAATTATACAATTATTTCACAATGCATGCGTATTTGCTATTTAGAATGAAGAAACTATATAGAGCGATGATCTTGCCACCAGAAATTATAAACAACATAATGAAATATTCACGAGGTAATAGTAATTTTTCCAAAAAAGATTTAAAAAAATACGTTTTCTAAAAGGTATTAAAGATAGAACAGTTTAAGATGATGTGTAAAAACTATAAATAAAAATAAGACATGTAATTTATAGGCATAAATTGTAAGAGAGTATTTTAAGTTTAGATGACATTTATGTGATGTAAATGTGGTAAGAGGTCCACTGAGGGCAGAACGAAATTTAGTAACAGGTAAATAAATAAAAAAGTATACTTTTGAAATTTAGGAAATATAAAAATGCGTATTGTTTTCTCGTTTAAACAGTCCTTCTTACAAACAGTAGGATTAGGGGGTGCAAACAATAATAGATATGGTTAAAATCCCCTTGAAGACCCATTGTATATAAAAAAAAACACTCCTGGATGCCGATTATGTTCGGCTGAGTAAGTTCCAATTCGAACTGTATGTGTACTATCACACTGTGTTCACAACATTAATTCTATTTTTAAATTTTACTTAAATTAAGTTAATTTAATAAAACAGTTTTGACACGGTATAATATTAAAAATTATGTTCAAATGCTATGTCACATTTGAGTTTTTTTATTAATGGTTCTAAGTATTACTTATCAGTACCTTTTTGAAAAAAACTTAATCCAAGAGCTACATAATTTGATGTAAAGTCTCTGTAATATGGACTTTTCATTGCATTACATCGGATAGCTTATCTAATAATTCGATAATAATTTTATCCTTGTTACGTTAGAAATTCGCTGATTGGAATAAAGACATGAAAATGGACGTGATAATCTGCTGCGTTTTGGCAGGGACTTTCTATACTAACATAGTATAGAAAGTCCCTGGTTTTGGTGAGCAGAAAAAAAATGTCAAAGAGCTTTTATTACACAGTCCCCGCTGCAACTCCGTTCGGGCGTTAAATACGATGACCCGTGTAGGGAGAGTGCCACGCTCTTGTTCTCCGTACGTTAAAGAATCTTTGAAACAAATCATTCAGAGGTCCGTAGGTGGCCTGTTGCGAGGCAAAATTGCCAATATCTTACATGTCCTCATTTTCTTTTGGCAGTCAAAATTTTCGCCTTCCACTCAATTTGTAAAACCTACCTATTTTATTTTTTATAATTGTTTTCTAACAATGTTCCTTTTCAATAAAAGTGATAATTTGTTTTCGAAGTATGGAAAAAAATCGTTATCTTCATTTATTGTGATTAAATAAGCAGTCAGTATTCTCAATCTCTTAAAATTTATATTAATACGCTTAAAGATCCGCCAGAAATGCACTAAAGAGCAGAGTTAATAGGTAGATATTTTAACATAATTTAAATCCAAAGATTTGGTTGTATAAATCATAATATGTCTATGATAGATAGACTCCATGTCTTGTATTTAACGTAAAATTATTTATCTATGAAACGGAAATATATATACTAATAGGAATAAACGCTATTATATATAAAGAGCATTGAGAAATGCGTTCCGAAAATAGTAGCCAGGAATGGTTGATACTATGACTTGTGCTTTTGCAATCTTCAAGCTTTAGAAACAACTGAATATTTTTTAAGATAACGTGGAAATGCACGTTCGTTTTGTATGAGTATTAAAACGATTAGATTTGTTTAAACTTTACTTATTTTATAAATTGAAATTTAATCAAATCGCGTTATATGGAAGCCATTAAGTACTAGAGTTTAAACTTTTACCAAATGAATACACATTCCTACGCGAATTCAGCTTAACTGCTGTTTTTTATCGACAAGGTTCAGTGGGGTTAGGACAAATGTTCACCTTGACTCGCACGTCTGGCTGAAAAAAAACCCGTGCTGTAAGAAAGGAGAAAGGGGGGGGGGTCTTTTTGGCTGTCTGGAACGTACAATTAAGCAGTCACATACGAATTGGAATTGGCACGTAAAATCCGGTGTCCCATGTTGGATGAGGTCAACGTTAACTGAAAGTAAAAATGCCCTCAAATTAACTCACAACAGGACAAAGCGTCTGCTCTTTCCAACATACCCTGTTTCCATTGTCATTTCAAATCATTAGTTCTTCATCAAAGTCGATTGATAATTTAACATGCTAACTAATTTTATATTACACTACACGTTAAGTAACAATCAATCAATTATTTTTTGTTCAACTTCTTTTTTGCTTCCCTTATGTCAACATGCTCAGAAAATGTTGTTAGTTTAAAACAAAGACGCAAAAATGATAAATCATTAGATAATTTGATCGGAATTACGTTCGAACGTAGAGAAAATATTGTGTTATACATATGAACACGCTCATACTTTATCTATCATTGAAAAGGGGGGTGGGTGTTACGAGTGCTGATACTAGTCAAATTGTACCGACAATAAGTGCCAATTGTTCATCACTTTTCAAAATCAAGTCCAGTTACAACACATATTCCCCACGTTACTATACAAAACTATGCGTTGTATGCCGGCCACCAATCCAAGATCTATCAATTTCAAACATATCGCTATGCTCGAAACACCAGGCTTATACATGTTATTATTTGGTACGCTATACGCTATACGCGCATTTCGGTTAAGACTCATCAATGGTTTAAAATGACTGCAACTTAATATTGATAGAAAAAGGTTTTTATGATATCCTAATTCAACTTTCCTTCCGATGACTCGGTTATAGAAAATTATTGTTTTGGCTTCAAATGTACATTGCTTTCTACCTTTTACTTAAATGATTAAAACCAACATGATACTGAAAATACAATTGTCAGATCTCATAAGAGAGTTCTCATAAGAGAATTGTTCTCGTCAAAATTTGTGTCGTCACTGATGATGGCTCTTGATTTCAAGATCTTTATTCGTACCACCCTCACCGCCGTATGAATTCTATAAATCCTTTTAAAATTGCGAATTAAAATGTCATACGACCAGACGATGAACTTTATTAAATACAGGGGTTACAGATAAAGGTTACCAAATTTTTGGACTTGTGAGGGATTTTCCGTTTTCCATATCTTTTGTATCAAAGAATAATTTCGGCCGGCTTAATGATAGCACTCTTGGGTCTGTAGTTTTCCTTGCTCGCTTCTGTAGTGAACTGCTTTAATAAAATTGAATGAAATAAGGCTTAGCACGATTAATGGCCTTAGATATTTTCTTTTATATAAAAACAGTGTTCCACAAGCGAACATAAGTATGAATTATATTTTTACTCTGAAAATTAAATTGTCACCTTTTTCTTTTATAACGAAATGGGTTGTGGTCATTAATGGTGGTATTAAAGTGAAAAATATTACGAAAAATCAAATTTCTTTATTTCATTGTACATATTTTTTTCAAGAGTTTAGTCATTGGTATATTATTACTTAGTATATGTAGTACAAGTCAAGAAACACTCCTTTTCAATAACCACTGGTCTGATGATTTTATTATTTTTATTAGTACGAATTTACACAGATCGTTACACCAGAAGGACCACTTTAAATTGCCAAGTTTTAAAAAGTCAACCATAGATCGAAATGCCTTTAGAAATCATGAAAGAGATAAACGTATCCAATAAGATAGCAAGTTCACTAACATTTTACATAGGAGATGCTCGTTTGACCTTGGACATATTTTACGAGTAAAAAACACTATACAATTTATATCTAAAATATTAGAAAGTTAGATGAAATGATCTTATACGTGTAATACCTGAACAGAAACAAAAGGAGAGAAGTGACACGTGTTTAAGAAAACCAGAAATTTGCTTAGCAATACTATACAAATTTACAATATTCCCTGTTGTCATGGTAACAGTACAAGTTCCGTTATAGACAAGTTATCATGGTTATTGGAACCAACACATCTAAAACGTATTCATCGACAATTTATAAAAAAATATCTCATCTTAATTAACCGATTATAAATTTATAAGAAACTAAGGTTCCAACTCACTCAAGCAAATTTGGCCTTAGATTGATATGGCTATTATTTTTAGGTCCCTTTTGGACATATAGCTCTTCGCGTGGTACTTGTACATCTCTGGCTTTCAAATATTTGGCCTTGTGCTTAACCGATGAAGGTAAATCATGAAAGCGCTTGGGACGAATAACATTATAATATTTCGAAATTTCCTGATTCAAAAGAGTTTTAATAGTAATCTCTAAAAACCCTAAGGTCAGGAATTATATATAGTTTGTTGATCTGATTATTGGAAAATTTGACTGGTTCTATAGGTAATTGGTTAACATGGACTTGTTCGTTTACTGAATCATAAAAAGTGCTTGGACTTTATGAGTAAATTGTTATCCATCGATATCTTTGAAAAAGCTGATTTATAATTTTTTTTAAATTTTTCTTTACATTACAGATTCTGGTGAAATGATGTGTGCCTCTCAGTATCGAAAGAGGTCGATCTATTCAAATGGTGACTGTTCTTCTGCTAAGCCAACCGAACCAATCATTGAACCTGTGTGCGTTGGACGATGCGTTCCGAAAGGGTCCCAACCAATAGAATTATTTACTGGACAACATTATAGGTGTAAACCTGATAAAAAAGTCACAAAAACCGTCAAGTTATTGTGTTCAGGTACCTCAAACCTGAAATCAATAAAAGTGAGAGTTGTGGAATCATGTAAGTGTGTCTTGACTAAGAAAAAAAGACGTAAACATAAGAAAGGAGAAAATCGTCGACGAAAGAACAAAACTGATAATAAAAATAAAAAAAGAAAAGAAAGACGAAAATTACGGGGTAGAAACAGACGAAAACAAAGAAAAAACAAAAAATCTAGTAAATTAACTAATAACGATCGGTGAGAATCCTGTTATGTTAATTAGGAGATTGTTTCTTTTAATTTTGTACGTGTGAGAGAAGCACATTTGCATTTTTGCAAGGAATAAACAAAACGGAATCACGCCCAGTAAGTCAGCAACGCCAAAGTGTCAATACTGTGTGATGCAGTTGGCAAGGAAAGGGTGTGTTTCGGCTGTATTCCAAAGGAAGCCAGTAATGATACAGGGATTTCCTGCCTCGTGGCAAAATTAATCTGTGATCAAATGTAAAGCTTAAAACAGTTTTTTTTTTGTTATTTTATTGTTTTGTTTGCAGAATGTAAGTGTTATCGTATGAATGTTGAATTGTTTCATGATGTCATTACTTTTAAGTTTCATGTCAATGCCTTTTGATCAAGTAGGTCTCGTACAATATACAACATTAAGTTTTTTGAGGTGAAAAAATGCAATCAATAAAACTAAATGTTTTTTTTCACAATATCCTTCCTGTCATTTCAAATATTTCGGAATTTATTCTTTTCAACTCGTGTATCTATACATAATTTAATGGTCTTTTTTTCTCCGCAAATCACGAAAAAGTCTTTAGATGCAATGTACCATTCGCTTCATGAAATCAATTTAAGTGGGGTTCTCAAATCTTGCACATTGAATCATAAATATGAGATCAAAGTAACATACTTTCCATTGATAAATATTTTTAAGTTACTTGTACTAAAATAATTGTGAATATTTGCTATGTTCTACCAAAGGTTCTTCCTAATTTATTATGCTTGACCACACTTTATTGTTTTCTATAATGCCAGACCACATATAACTCTTCGAAAAAGATTTTAAAATATAATTTTGTGAAATGTAACTTGTTACCCTTTTGGTGTTCAACATCGTTGTGGGGGAGTCAAATTTTTAAAGGATTTTTAAAAAAAGCCGGATCTCTGCAAAAGCATTTATTTAAAAATATAAATGTCATTACTGTTGGGAAATTGACAAAAACGAACGTAGAAAATGAAAATTTCCATCCTAAACCTTAAATAAACGTATCTTTTTCTAAGGACAAAAACTCCTGCGTACATTTTAAAAATGTTTAGAAGATTTTGATGATTTATATTTTATACGAGAATATCCATTGTATTATCATTACTTGTACAATATAGTTCCTTAAAGGAGTAAATATGCATGTGTCTTTGTTTCTTAATTGACTGTTGTCTTGTTCATCTTTCTGCAAGTATATTAGATCGAAAACAAATGTTGTAAGAAAATCTTAATTAACCAAATACTTATATATGTGTTTTCCTTATTTCGTGCAGAAAAAAGGACCAAAGAACACACAGGTATATAGTATAACATAATGGTAATGATAAAGGTACTTTTAGCCTAAAACGACTCCGAGTATATATTTCATTTGTTATATTTCTGAAAGGGTTCTAATACGTCCTTCTGAATAAGACAAATCGTGTTAACTCATATTATCAACATTCTGTTCGAAATTTCGGCTCTTCATTATACGTTTTACATGTTTCCACCAGAAGATGATTATTTTGAATATCACAGAATTTTATGAGACTCAAATTTGTAACAAAATATTGTGTAAAAAAATTATTATAAGAACTATTATTTTATGGTTTGTGGTATTCTACTTTTTGCTGGCCAATATTTGGACTATGAAAGAAGTACAAAGGATATTGATGTAGGACACGAAACACACATTCCTAGAGGAAGTGTTTGTAGCAGTTACAATTAATGTCATTCAAGTATAATTAACATTCAAACCAATCACTTATATTTGTATCATATACAGATTTGTATTCTTGTTTGAGAGTCAATAATTGTATGAAAGTTCCAAAACGCAAAATGACAGTATGTGTATATGCATTTTTTTGTTTTCATCCAGTCATTTTACGAGAGAATTCATTAACATTATTTATTATGCTGTTCCGGTCCATTATAAATTATGCCAGTGTATATATGTGTAAACTATACAATGTTAGCATTTCAAAATTGTTATGATATACAATTAAAAGAAAATCATTTTTAACAAAGTTTTAAAAAGTATTTAGCCCTTCAGATATAATAACGAGTCTTTGTGACTGAGGATTGTGGTTAATTCAAATGCCACCGACGGCACATACAGGCACTTGGGATATGGACACCCCCTTTTGTGTTTAAGATATTTCATTAAATTTTCTTCAATATTTCAACTTACTCAACCTTATTTTTGTGTTCTTGCTTTATTCAATCGTACACTAATCGAAATTAATATGCGCTGCCCTTCTATTCTTATTTTCCGCAAGTCAAGACAGATCGAAAACTAGAATATGTTACAAGTGCACGCCTCTGACACATTTTTGGCACCATGTTTCCATTAAATCATCCAAATTAAGACATTTATCAATACAAAGACTTACCTTTTCGTTTCTGTTGAGAGTTTTTTTTTTAATGTACAATCACTCAGCTGTTCAGAAATTTCATATTTTCAATCCCAAATAGCTCAAAGTTCGCACCGTAGACTCTGCGAATTCATAAAGTCGGACAAATCGAAATTTTTTCCGTTTTTGTTTTTATTTTGACGCCTGTAAAAAAACGAGAAACATTTCATAAGATGATGAGGGAAAGTAATTTCAAACATTCAAGAAAGTTTGATAACACAAAAAAACTCTAAAAAGGGGGATATGTTCCACAAGCGCCAGTGACTGGAGTATAAGCAATTCAGTGTTTATATATGGCACCTTTCGAGTTTCTCACTGGAACAAATTGGTAATGAGTAACAGAAGATTATACATCCCGCACAGTCAAACGGGAGCCCCAAATTTAGCAAGTTTTTCCTGCTGGTTTGAAGAAACCTTTTTGACTCTTTTAGGTTTTCTCTCTCTCTCTCTCTCTCTCTCTCTCTCTCTTTGCCATAAGGGTTGATATAATAATAAATATTAATTAAAATTGAAACATTTCAAGCATGTGCGATCTCTAAATGGTTAAGAAGTCAAGAAGAAAACTATCACGAATATAAACAGTGTATTTACAAATGAAAGTGTAAATTAACTTGACTCTGTGAGCACAAAGGACGGAAATTTGGTTATACAAAATGTCATATTGAAGACTTTTTATACTATCATGTCAGAATATTGAACAAACAAGTTCAGTGTCTATATTTGAATAGTATACCTTATATTCAACCTAAGTTGTATTTCAATTGGTCTTTAATATACACTGACATTTCAAAAGAGTAAAACCTGTTCGACGATTATTTACTAAAATCCATTAATTTTAAGATTAAGTCTTCAGTGGAAAAATAGGACCTGTCAACCTATTAATTGTGAATAAAATTTCAACCCCCTTGCGAGCGATTAGACATCATACATACATAAGATCTCCACGCGGGGGAGATGTTTAGCTGGACGATATATACTATATAAACAGTTGTCCATTAAAATAGTTTAAACCATCAGTAATGTTGCCGATTTATGAACAAATGGATTATAGTTTTAATGTTTTAGAAATCTCCATCGCACCTGTTATGAGTTCAGCTAACTAGAATATCTACAATCATATATCTTATTTTGATATGTATGCGATATTATATTATCCTAATAAGGCGGTTCATCACACTGATTATCACAGATTCCTCTCGTCATAGATTACAAAAAAAATGCAATTCATCAAATTTTAAAAGCCTTATTTCTTAATTTGAGACAAATCTGGTGGTAAATTAAAGGTCATTTTAGAGATGAAAAGCTGAAAACATCCATTCACAAAATTTACATCTAGATTCTGCGTCAAAGGTGTCTGAAAATCGCTGTTGAATAATAAAAAAGATGGACACATAGGGTATATAGTACAGTATATGCCCTTTTACGATACATATAAAACGCATTGATTAATCTTCACCAATTTAGGCATATACACATATTCTTGAGGAGATGATGATACTGTGTCTTCTTCCACTGCCCATTACGTTGTTTTATGTATTATGAGAAGCACATCGGCTAATATTACAGTGTATAGGAATGAAGGAATTCTATATGCGAATAGTAAGTACCAAGTTGACTTATTGGTCAGTGTTTGCTTGTAGTCTAGGAATAAATATCTCTATGTATGTCTTAAACGATAGTTTAATATATCATATAAGTAGGAATACTGCAAATTGCCTCGAAGATTGGAAGATTTGGACTGCCAATGGTAAAAGAAGGGTGTGGGAAAGTGGCTTTAACTTTGCCCTGCAACAGGCGACCTACTACACCTATCAAACGATTATCATAAGGGTTCTTTAACCTGCAAAGTCGCGCATGAACGAGATATCGGATTAATATCCCTGTTTCAAACCAACTGATAGTTTTTTGATACATCCAGCTCAACCACAGAAACCCTTTGTGTAAGCGCGCATTATTTGATGCAGAATTATTAAGTATTGATGATCTGTTCCATGTGGCATTGTCGTCAATCATACGACATCTATTTTTTAATGAAAATATACAAGATGGACAACATATACAAACTTACGTACATGCACAAAGCCGTAAGAAATATTACTCTTTTTTAAATGAAGACGGGGCTATTGTATGATGCGAACGGCTAAAAAAGTGATTATCGGAAGTCGCTGTCAAAACGTCTATTAAAAGATATAAAAATGCTATAAGATACCCAGGGTTGATACAAAATCAAGCGAAATTATGCATACAAACAGGATCGACAATTAAGAAATGGTATCAATAATACTCTTAAAATAAATACATGTACCTCCATGCATGCACTATATTTACTCAATGTACTTTAGAACATAAGCATGCAATTATATTTGAAGATTGAAAGTATGTGACTCGGGCAAAAGAAAATATTTCACAAGACAACATAAAATGCATATCATATGAAACTGTTGGACAAAAGCTTGAAAATGTCGTAATGAATAATTACAGGAGAATGAAACGTATTTTCTAAACGATTTATTTTTAAAATAGCTTGCACAGTTTTATGTTGAACAAACCATGGTAGTATTGTTTAATGAAAGTTATTATTCTGATTGATTGGCGGTTGTTGGATTAATGACCAAAAGCAAATAGTTCACGTATTGTATGAATTGTTAGTGGATACGGAAAAGGGGCGTTTGATTTTAATAACACCGCATAACAAGAGCGTACTTAGTAATGTCAGCAATTCTGCCATTCAAGTGAAATATGTCATGTATAAATACGGACACTTGAAATGATTAATTGGTCGGATCCTTCAACCTGTAAACTACGTGACACTCTGCCGCTAAACACGTTGCCTTTCACCACGGATTCTTCTTAATATTTGAGTTTAGCGAACTTTCAAAAATAACATATCCAGAGACAACCAGGATGTTGCCCGAGTTCCCAGAGTGCACATACCTGATATTTATGCATCACATACAAGCAAACAGACATCCAGACGCCACACGAAGTGACTAAAGGTTGTGCGGGAAAAGTTAAAGTAACCATATACCAACACTTCTCCTGGGCTGCATTTTCTAATCGTAAGGTTGGCAAAGGATGTGAAAACGTGTCGGCTGCTGAAAAATATACTGTGGTAAAGTGATTTTGTGTGTCGCCCACCAAACGTTGATTTAAATCTTTTATTTTCGTAAAGTTTTTTTTTCTGTTAACTAAGTTACTTATATTATGTTAAATTATTGAGATTTTTCTATTATTATTCATTTTAAATGTACAAATGAACGATTTTTGTATTTTCTAAATTGTATGAGTTATATATATATATGTATGTGGATCCAAATCCTGATCACAGTATATAAAATTCTCTACCACGCTTCGAAAATATTCAGAGTTATATAATGTTGCTTTATATTAGGCGTATTTTAGATATTTTGGTATTTCATGCATAAATGAATAAACTCATCATAGATACCAGGATTACTATTTTGTACGCCAGACGCGGGTTTCATCTACAAAAGACTCACGAGTGTCGCAATTAAAAAAGGCAAATAAAGCACGTTATTCATCTTATCCGATGCTCAAATATTGAAACGCGTATAAAACGCCAAAGCGTAGGCTGCTTTTAACCTTGGGCAACAGAAGAAACTGGTTTACTGCAGTGGTCATATTTTGACAGCGTAATGATGACATTGTAGTTTTGTACCGGGTACTCTAATCCTAGTAATAATGGTGGATTTAAATTCCGTATATTTTGTAGTGGACGCATGTGGAGA